AAGTGTATATTTTTATTGAGTAGTTGTCTTGATAATAGTACTGAAAATATTTCCATGTCATGCCTTCTTCACCCGATGCCAATAATAAAGTAGCTGAAGATGTCAGCTCAGTAGCAGCTGTGCATCCTACAAACACTCGTTTATCAAATCATCTGCCCAGATTTACAACTGATTTGTTTTAATGGCCTTTTGATTCCCAGAGACCCCATAAAAACAAGACTTGCTTTCCTCCCATCATAAAAAAGAYTACTATAATGCAAAGCACTTAAAGAAACTCATGCTAGATGTGTTTTCTCTGTGGATGTTGTATTTTGTTAGCCCACAAAAGAATAYAAATACATGTACAATAAGGCATATAGACATGGCACAGTTACACAAAACCACAGCTGTATTTTAACTGTGCATAGTCCAGAACCAACTCTAAATTTGGCTTGTAAATAAATGGGTCAGAAACAAGGAGCCCAGTAAATAATTTGAACTGACATTTAAGATGAATGGGCCCCTTATATCCACCAGGACTCTTACAGCAGGGAGAAAACCCCCACCAACACCAGTCATTGTTCCTCATGAGTCATGTGTCACCTGATCTCCTAAATCTGTTTCAGTCATTAGGATAGAAGCTGTGTATAGAGGGAGTCATAACTTCCTGTTTCCAAGTCCTGTCAGTAATCTTGTTTTATAAGATCTGACTATAACTTACAGTTGGTGAAAACTGAGTAGCGACAAGTTTATGAGAAGCGGCAGTCCAATATTAAAAGTGTCATGTGACGGTAGACAAAGGATGAAAAATAGTAAGTGGCAGAACTGCATACTGGTCAGGAATGGCTCACTTACTTTTTCATACCAGTAAGTCCAGCGGACACCAGTCTGGGACTTACTGGTGTGAAAAAGCATCAAATAGCATGATTATGCTATTTGTTGCCTTACACTCTAAAATGTTTGAAAAGGCCAAATTTTGAACCAAAAATGTGATYCAGTGATGCTGTTTTTCCACTTAGACTTCTGAATAAATCATCTTTCTAATTTTCTTCTGAAAGTACACAACAACGAGCCTCACTTCAGTCTATCCTTGCATTCAACACACTGCATTTCAAAACTACACAAGTGAGACATCCAAGTCATTTAGTTTTACCTTCAGAGAGAGACTCGCCCACTGACTTGTGAGCTAAACCTGGGGATTTCCGCCGAAACCTAAAACACAGAAAAATAGGTTGGATTAAAAATAATATTGCAAAAACTATCAAAGTCAAAGCTGTAGAATCATACAAAACAAATGTTTTTTTCTAGTTTTCTGCTTGTGTGTTTATCAGGGCTGTGTATTGGCGTTTGGTGATACAATACATTTCAACCTGGAAAGACTCAAAGAAAGCAGATAAACAGTTTTATTAACAAAAGAAGGTTGTTTGGCGCTCGGGCCCCAGCAGAAGACATGGGTGATGCAGATTACTGTGAGCTAGAGATCAGCTTGAATGTTTCTAGTGCATTTGTAGCAGCATTTTAGAATTAAACTGTGAAAGTTTTGGAGGATACTGGTCCAACCTCTTATCTGCTCACATTAAGAAGATATTTCAAATATTATATAATGCTACGTATATATTTTAAATTTGGTTTAATAAAATTTGCATAAATTACATTTATTTTACAACAAATTGTTCAAGTGTAATTTAATTAAACCGACTTTTCTAATAAATTTATAGCAATATAATTCAAATATGTGCTTTATATTGTGGTCAGAGGAGGTACTGACCCTACATCTTCACAACCCACAAGGGCTCGTTTGATTAATATTTAGGTTAATGAGAATAAAAATCAGATATCAAACATTGTCTTAAAATGGGATGATTTAAGCAGATGTACTAAATGAATTTGGA